TAAATATCTACTAGGTTAGGTTAGGTTAGGTTATACCGGTGATCCCTAGTGGATCCACTTAGGCCTATTGGCCCATTGTGATGCCGTATATAAATACTAAAAGAAAGTAAGAGAAACCTCAGGGTTTAAAACCACCTAGAACCTTTTGCGAAGCATAAAATGCTATTTAAAGCCCGATCCTGTAACTGGTCGAGGTCCTCAAGGAAGGGGGCCCCTAGAGTACTAAATCGCTGACGTGCAAGAGCTGGACAAAAACACAACAGATGAGATGCGCTCTCATCGTCCTCCCCACAGCTACGACAGATTTGGTGGAAAGGAAGACCTAGTCTTCTAGCATGGTTCCCTAGCTTACAGTGCCCTGTAATCAACCCTACCAGAAGACCAATGTCCTTGCGGGACATCTCAATGAGAGTTTTCGATTTCCTTTTATCGGAAAGTGGCCAGATTGCATACAGATGTCTACATATCGTTGAGTCTTCCCATCTTTTATTAAAAGTATTTGTGCAGAAAGAACTCAATATCAGTTTACATGATGTTAGTGATATGCCCAGATAGTCTAGGTGCTCCGAGTATGGCACTGAAGCACCCTTTCTGGCTAACTCGTCTGCTTTGCAATTTCCGAAAATATCCCTATGGCCGGGAACCCAGATTAGAGAAATATTGAGCTGCGTCGATTAAATATACTAAATTAAAGAATTATGTATTACATTAATTGGAATTAGAATAATTTTAAATATATATTTGAGAACGAGGCCCTATGTTTCACTAGGAGTTAATGGAGCAAAGAAGAAGCTTTGGGAACAAAAATTCTTTTTATATCAAAAAATAAAATGGTAATAGACTTTTTAGGCTTTCATAATTCTTAAATTCGAGCGGGAAGCAAACATTTTCTGCTAATCGGACAATAGTAATTAACTAACTAGACCACAGAGTGACATGCAATACTCGTATATATTATTAAATGATATCTAGCTGTTATCAGCAAAAACCCAAGGGTGTAAATGTAGCATCTTAATGTCAATCAATTTAACTTAAAGTTATCCTATAATATTACCTATCCTATATAAGATCAATTTTTAAATTTTATGCATATGTATGGGAATAAAACAATGTTTTATTATTTAAAAAAATAAGAAATAAGAAATCATGTTATCGTTGTTGTAGCTCACAAGGATCTGTTTGTGTAATTCTTTTTGGGGGTGCTGAACGGTACTTGATCGAGTGGTTCCGGGGAGTAGAATGTATCGTTATTAGAATTAGGATGTCTTCTTTATTGTTGTTATAATCCCAATAATT